TTTTCCAAATTTTGTTTTTTACGAGTATATGTATTGTATAAGTAAATAAATTAAAACCAACCTAAATGTAAATAATTGATTTCCAAGTTTTATTTAGACCATTTTTATACAAAATTGGATTATAAAAAAATTATTAAAAACTATTGTGAGAAAAAAATTTAAATACAAATATATTTTATCGTTATATTATTATTTAGCTTATTGAGTATAGCAAACCGGACACACTTCGATTAAATAATCAGGGCAAATTAATTTAACATATTTCATGCAAATTTTTTATTATTTTGCGATAAAAAAACACCATAAAAAAAGAAAAAAAAACCGAGATAAATTACTCTCGCGGGGTAAATTATTTCCAAACACTGATGCCGAACATTTTATGAACTTCTACAAAGTGACCGAAAAACCAAGATAACACATTTTATCTATAAACTTATATAGAAGTATATGAATATTTATATTCACGATAATATTTATAAAATTATAAATAAAAATAAGCTGGGGTCATTGTTTATCCCTCGCGAGTTATGCCGGAATAATAATTATGATTACATTTTTTTTTTGTGATTACGAAAACAAATTACATTTTATGTGGTTACAAATTATATTAGCCCGAATGTTTAAATAGGTAAAAATGAGGTCAATGAGGTGAAGTCCGGACCTCATGGATCTCTCCCCCCTTAAATACGCCACTAACATACTGTAGGCTAACGTTTTGCTTAGATTATTATTATTCTTCAATGATAAATGTGTTAATTTTTTTTTGAGCGAATACATTTCTACCAGAAATCTTATTCCGATCAAATTTAGAGTTGATGGAATGAGGAGGTTATTTTTAAATTTTCTTTGAATTATTCTTTATTATGGAAAAACCCGTAGAAAAACCGTTAGGAAAACTTGTACCTGTTATTATATTCAAACAGTAACGCTTTCTATTATTTTGTTTATCCAATAGAAAATAATCGTAAAAGCCTGTAATTTCACTGAATACTTATATAGGTATTATCTCTTATATTAGTTTTTAGCAGCTTTTTCCAAACATTGTACAATTTTCAATCGTTATGTCAACAATTTAGTTTATTTTTCAGAAAATTTGAAATTTTCGAGTTTTTTTACGATTTTATTTGGTTTTATGTAATTTACGTTTTTTTTTATAAGTTATAATAATAATTGAAAGAAAAAAATTTAACGTAATATAAGATTTTTTTTTATAATTGCTTTAAGTTCAAATTTTAATGAAAATATATTTTGATAAAAATGTATAACATGCATATACCTTCCCATCAGTGGCAAATTCTAGGGTTTATCGGGGGCTGAATTTCATTAAAAAAAAAATATATATATATATTATGTAAACAATATTGTGGAATATAATAATTACGTAAAAATCACGACCCAAAGGGGACAATCGTCTTGGCCCCCTTTGGGCCCCACTTGTTTTACGGTGATTTCAGTTCCGCATTCTTCACAGCGGTCCGGATCAGGTTATTAATGAGATGTTTTATTTGTGTATGGTATGTATGTCCTATTTTAAGTCGAGTTAGTATCATATGTCATTTCCTTGATAGTATTGATCCATCTGTCAGAAGTAGGTTTTATTTCCTATACCTTTTTATCTCTACGTGTATTTTGTTTGTGGTTATAAACATAAATATTATTTGAAATACGAAAACACGCTTTTGCTAGTTTTAATAGTGTTATTGAACGGGTAAAGCACGTTTATATGTTTGATTCGTTACCTAACGATTTCCTTATTTGAAACAAAAAGTAACAACGTATTATAATATTATAGTACCTATATCATACATTATTAATAAAACTACCGGCTTTTCGATTTGCATAATATAATAAAAATACACGAGTTATAACGCTCAAAAAAATCACAATTTTATTTTTACGTTCCACTTAATAAATCGACCACCCCGCCGTTCTGTACAGGTGTAGCGCATTTGTTTATACGTATATTATTATAAACGCGTAATACCTATATAAAATTATAAAATGTATATTATTGCATGCGACCTCTGACGCTAAAAAAAAAGTCATATATATATTGCACAAGTAGGTAGGTAGGTATGCATACTGAGGTGTTTTGAAGGGTATTATATTGGTATCCATTTATTATTTTTATAAAATTAGCGCGTTAAAAATAGTATAGAAATACGCACATGGCTCATGATATTAAGTCCTCGTAAATTGCCGTTACGTTTGTAATAATTTGTATTTATTTATTTATTTAAATATGTAAACACTCTGAGGGTAATGGTTGTAACAACAATAGTAAGGAAAACAGTAAATAAAAGCGTGATAGAAGAGATCAGGCTAAGTATGGTTAAGACGACACAACACCCTATGGAGAGGTCAATTGCGGCCATATAAGATGTGAGGTGCGTTGGAACGGAGAAGAAGAAAAAGAGGTTTCGAGTGGAGTGTGAGGGAATGCGAAAAGAGACAATTTTCATTATTTCAGAAGAGTCGAGATTATTGTTGGGAAGAGAGAAAATGAAAATGTCAGCATTGATACGACGGAAAGCATGAGTAGGGATACCGAGGAAGGAGCGGACGTAGTTGCAATCATGCGGTGGGTGATCAAACTTAAGCTGATGGGCTACAAATGAAAGAAAACGGTTCTGGAAAATTTCGATGCACAGCTGGTCACACGCCTAGTAGGTGTGCCAAACGGTAACGCCTTACTCTAGAATTGACCACACCAGACAGCAATATAAAGTATGAATATAGGAAGGAGAGAAGAAAAGGGAAGAATTGGCCGAAATATTTTTCAACTAATATCTACATTTTGTACATTTTCCCGTTTTTCCCGGTTTTTTATATTTATTGGGAATAGGAAAACTCCAGGGAAAATCAAAAAATGACCTGTTTAAAGTACTTTTCTAGTCAAATTTCCTTTCAGAAAAAGTGCTATCATTGTAAATCTGAGCAAAATTTCTAGTAGAAAAGTTGTCTACAAAAAAAAAAATCATAGTATTTTACTAGTATACTTCGTATATTTTCCCGTTTTTTCTCACTTTTGCCTTTTTATTGGTAAAACTGTCAGGAAAGTCAAAAAATGACATTTCTTAAGTAACACCCTAAGAAAATTTTCTTTCAGAAAAGGGCTTACATCGTATAGATCAGAGTAAGATTTCTGGAAGAAAAAGTGTTCGCATAAAAAAAAAAAGAACATCTTTGTAAAACCAATATATTATTTGCTCCACTCAGGATCTAAAACGAAAACGTTTTAATTTTTTCAGAATGACTGAATGAAAAAATGACGGCCCAAGTACAGAAAAACTTACATGCTAGTATGCATTAGCTTAATATGATAATTACATAAGCAAATTAACAGTACTACATGAATACAATATTAGTTAAATAGAAATGACGGGTCCTCGTTGGCAATGCGCATAATCCTAGCCATCGGTTGGTTACGCGAGTGGTGCAGTGTTTAATGGCGAAAGGATATGGTGATCGGGATCAAAGGTAAGGTGTTCTAAAACAAACTTGGCTGAGTAACGTAGGACAATCTATCATTCCTTTAGTAAGCTTCCTTATGATCAGTCCATTCAGCCAAAGCATTCAAATCACTTTGTAGTAAATGGCAATAATTTATAGTACGTACCTTCATAAATAATAATTATAATATTAATGTAATGCCAACATTAAATATCAATACCCTGATATTAGAAATAAAGCCAGGGGGACACAATTTTGCGTATGAATGTGCCTTTTTGGAGTTTTATTTTCAACCCCTCTCCTACCACTTTTATGATCAATATTTCACAATTTGTTTAAAAGTACAGAATAATCATTATAGTAGTACTGATACTATAGTATTATTATAGTATTCGTTTGGGTATTGTTTGTAAAGAATATTTATATTATTTACAAAATAGATGGCGAGAAATTTGACTCTAGGAGTTTTGCTGTTTACGGGTGATTTATTTTTTCATTTATTTTTAGTTTTCGTGATAAATAACGGGGGAAAACCCATTGAAATAACGGGAATATTTACGTTATTTTCTATATTATTTTTTATTGTAATCCAGTCAAAGATAATCGTAGAGACTAGAAACTTCCTGTTATTTTTTGAGTTTTTTAAAATTATCAATGTTTTTTTTTTTTTGTATTACGCAGGTACAAATTTTTCTATTTATTTTAATCAGCATTTAAGTTCACATTTATGTTAAAATTCGTTTAAAATAGCAAAAATTGTAATTTATATAAGGAAAAATCCCAATAACAATATTTGATTTAAAAATGTTTAAAAATGCCCAGAATCGTTTTTCGTTCGCAATGATTTACCGGTGCTTATAGATATATGGATTGAAAATTCGTCCTTTATTATATTCTACCGTTTGACCTACACCGGTGGCCCGTCCATGTTGGTGGTTTTATTTTTCGATATCATAAAAATAAATCTCCAAAGAATGACACGGAATACGGGACCGAGCGCAGATATAATAATATTATTATTACGATGGACGACTTGGGTAATCAATTGCGCGCGCAAACACCCCGTAATGTATTACGTTATATGGGTATCTGTTAGACGGCGTTTTTAAACAATACATTTCAATTTTGTCGGCCGAGATTGAAAGTAATAATAATTGTTCCAATATAGTAATACAATAATAATACAACGGCGATACCCTCGACCCCCGTCCATCGTAGCTGCTACCCGTTCCCGACGACTTACGTGTGGCAATAACAACTGACCGCCGCCACTGCCACCACTATTATACTACTGTACCGTATTATATTATACATTGTGTACCCGTCCAATAAAAACTTCATTAATCAGTTTGCGTGTCAAGTCGATTTCCTTTGAAAATAATACGCGAATAGTAAAAAAAAAAAAAAAATAATAATAATAATAATAATAAAATTATAAAATAAAACGAAATGCCTTCCGTGTACCGCGGCGGCGGTGCGGACACGGGAAGAGGTAGGGAGCGCGCGCGCGCACTCACGAATACCCACCGGAAAGTACGACTCCGCCGAAAGGAGGTCCGCGGTCAAACGCACACCGAAACCGAAGACCCGGTGTGTTTTATAACACGGCAGTAGTCGGCGTAACCGACCGCGCGGGTCATCGTAATCATTCGACGTTCAGACGCGGCGTCGTAGACACGTTGCAGCCGCGAACCGTTATGGCCCGGATGACTACGGTACAGACGTTGGCGGTGTACTATTGTTGTACCGCGGTGGCCGTGTTGCAGCTGGCGCCCGGCACGGCGGCAGCGGTGGCCGGCGACGGACCGCAACAACGTGCGCTCGGGGCCGTCAGGAACAAAAGATGGTCTACGACTTTCGGCGCCAACTCGAGCACGAAGAACACGACCGGTGACTATATTATAACGATATACGAATTTAATACACAGGCGTGTACGTTGGGAACGACAACAGGGAAACGTCGTAAACCTGCCTCCTCCCCCGTGGCTGTTCCGCGCTTGCGTATCGCACAACGTGTTCTGTACAGAGTTTAACATATAGGCCGATATCGTGGAAAAATAATACGGAATTGTCCCCTTCCTTCCATGGATTTTCAACGGCCTTTGGGTCTCGAGTGATCTGAGCTTCCCTCCCCAAAATTTCCACCAATGTCGCCGGCGGAAGCCCTTGCCGTATTAACGATACGTGTACATTTTCAACGTACAAAAGCGGCGGCTTCGGTTCTTAGGGATCTTTCGGAGGCCTGGCCATCTGGTGTTCTTATTATTATCATTTATTTTAAATTTTGTTTGTTAAATAATTGACGAGATATCTCTACGCGTATACTCACCATTAATTATGCTTCGTTATCACTTTTCGATCGACGTTTCGTAACTAAAATAAAGAATTTTTACATTTGTTAGCTAATCGACTAACCCATCTCCATATGCTTCGCCTTTTAAAAGCTGCCTTTATCCCTAGTTATCAGACTTTTTTTTTGATTCTTGTCGATATGCATTCATAATGTTTGTACGTATTCTGTGGCGTTTTACTTTTAAAATCGACAGTTTTTCTTTCTTCAACACCACTTGTATGGATACACACATGGCGTGTGTGTGTGTGATTGGGATTGGGATAGCCGATATGCATAACCGGTCGGCTTGTTTACAAAGATTCGGATTTAGATTTTTTTTTTTCAGATTTTCAGCAGTTGCAAATTACGATAACTGTTATTGTGTATACGTATGGCTGTTTTTTTATCGATCCGTATACATTTTGCACGCACGGCGTGCGCGTGTGTGTGTCCGAATAATATTATCAATGCTCGTGCTCGGACAACGAAGAAATTTAAAAGAAAAATAGTAAGGAACAGGAGGGGGGGGGGCACAAAAAATATCTTTATGGCCGTTTCGCACGCTATAAAGGGTCGCAATGGCGAGCGAAAAGAATCAGTGTAGGTGTATAATAATATATATATTTGGGTCGGTGTTGGTATAGAGGCGGCGGCTGCGGTGGCAACGGTAGCAAACGAACTGTAGTTTGACGCCTTCACCGAACACGTTAGGAAAAAAATAAAAAATTCTATGCGCACGAAATTTCCCATTAGAAAATATGTTTTTCAGGCGATTTACGTGTGTTAGTTTTACATGTATGCCACAACGCGAATAATAATTGTTAACTCGAGTGTAAACGGACTGCAATGGTGCACGATATTTTATAAAATAATAATTTTAATATCAGAAAGGAGTTTTATAAGTGCAGAGACGTTTGGGCGTGTATACACCAAATATTTTTTTCGGGGTGATCTAAGCTCCCAATTATATTGGTTATACAATTTATTTTATTGGTCTTAGTTGGGGCGGGTTATCCTCTATTTGTTAATTTGCGCCGAAGCGTATAGTTTAGGCATAGTTTATGGACAAGATTCGTAAATTTTCAAGTGCCTACCTAATATAACATCCCGTTCGTTGGATTCGCAGAGATTGTTAGGTGGAAACCCAATTTTTCTAAATACGAGTTTTATATGTTCGAAAACGACACTGGTATTCTCTTAAGAGAGGTGGGAATCGGTTTTCCAAATGTTGTAAAATTTAAAAATTATTTTTACTTTTTAACGACCTTTAATTAATCATAAGACTTTTCCAGTAGTGTACTGTCCGATAAGATTTAAGAGGAATGGGTATTTTGAAAACATACGTGATTTCTTTGATTTCTTGTCTATGTTTTGTAGGAAACATATGTTCGTTTTCATTTAGTTAACTTAGTTATAGTAATGATAAGTTTACATTTTTCTTAAAAAAAACTTGCAATTAAAAGAATTAAAAAATAAAATATAATTTTTCCTAAACAACATAGAAAAGAAATATACGAAGATAAATTATTTTTCAAAGTAATAATTGAATTGCTCTAAGTATGTTTATTTCTCCAGCTTATTGGTCTTAATGTACGGGGAAAACGAATCACTTACAACCGTCTTAAACAGTGGTTGGAAGTAGCGTGCTATATTTTTTTGTAACTATTTAAGGGTTTTACTTTAGCGATGAAAGATAAGTTCTTTGTACACAGCTCATACATCAAGTATGTAAAGTATGTCTATTCAAATAGTCACCATGTTATTTTTTATGCATATGTTTAGAATAGGTAAACGAGTATACTTATAACTTTGTCTGAATAATAAAATTATAACGAGACATTAAAATTTAAGACCTGCTCGTAGGGTAGGTAAATCATAAAAAAAAACATACACATTATATTAGGTAATGTTAAATCGTCCAAAGACTGTTGTAGAAATTAAAAATTAATATAACTGTATTAAATTAACGAGGCATGCGATGTGTCATAATAATATTATTTATAAAATATCAAGCGGTATAATTTGAACACGTAGGTATATGTATATACACAACTATTACCTACGCACACGGTAATAATATTATACCATATCATAAAAAAAAAGTTTCCTCAAATGCACATGACGGAATATTTATCGAGAACGTAGCGTGTTAACACGTAATCGGAAATTTCTATGTTTTAAAATAGTTTTCAAAGTGCGTATTAAATATCGTATACTTCTTAAGTTACATATAATAGGTACTTAATGATATTTTTATAAAATAAGTTGGGGACATACCTATTAGTTTAACAATAATATCATTCTTTTAGTTGTCTTGTGATGCAGACAGTAAATTCTCAAAAAGTCTTGAGTTTTCCCAAAAAAAGATGTACATTTAAATCTAAGTTGAGGACAGAAAAATAATACTATGAATATTATATATTTTTTTCAGCTAATAACGCAGCTTCTGATTGCACTACAGATTCGGATTGTCTTGGTACGCCTTATACTTCTTGTGACAGTGATCCGGTTGACAAGAAAAAAAAATGTTTCTGTGCAGACAAAAAGCTACCAGTAAATAACGAATGCGGAAAAAAGCCAAGAGGTATGACTACCTAATGTAGTACTGTATTGTGTACATGAAAAATTGTTGTTATTATCAGGACCTATTTAAAATTGTAGGCGCAGTGAGGAATATATTGCTTTTACTACGATGTGTGTTTTTTTTTGTTTCACCAGAAATCTTCAATTAAAATATGATAAGATAGTTAAATTTTAGATTAAGTTCGTTTATTTAAGGAGGTCATTTTTGATTTTTCTTGCAGTTTTCATAATACTTAGGAAAACCCAGAAAAGCGGACAAATTTATGACACATTACAAGCTGCATTCATTTATATATATATTTTTATGTATTTTAATATTCTACCAGAATTTTTGCTTTGAATTTCAAGAGTAGTATTTTTCTAAAAGAAAATTTTGTCTAGTTAATAATTAAGTCGTTTATTGATTTTCCAAGTAATTTTATAAATAATCAGTAAAAATAAACGTAGACAAAATGGGAAATGCAATAACAGTTTTTTTTTTTATAATTTTGTAAAAATAAAATAGTACTTATATTAACCCTTTCTAGGCATGGTAAAATTTTCAAAATATTCTAGTGATTTTTAATTTATTTTAAGGCATTTATAATTGTCAAGTTTTGTTTAGTTTTTATTTGATTTTATGTGGATAAAATTGTTCGAATAGAAATGCTAGAGAATTTAACACGAGGTTCATTACAAGTAAAGTACATTTAGCTGTAAAAAAAGTTAAGTGTAAAGTAGTAGTTTTTTTCATAAACGTTTTAAATTCAAATTTGAACGAATATAGTAAAAGTTGCTGGATTTTGAAATATGGATTGCCAAACTTCATTAAGACCTATATTTGATTAACAATAATTAATCGCTGCTAACAGATATTAATTAAATAATTCTATGTATCATGCCTTTTCATCTTTCCATCTATAATAGTTGTACACCCATCAGCAGTATCAGCTCAGTATTTTTACACGATTTTAACTCATGATGTTTCGTTTTTGGATGTTCAAACCTGCCGAGCATAATTTGATTGACTTCTTGGTGTCGTGGATGTCGATAATTTTCATAGAGTTAGAGAGACAATAAGTCCACAAATAGCCCACTATCATTTTTAGACCCAGACATCTGGGTCGGCGATGACGGAGGTGTAAAGCAGACTAAATATGGAATATTCAATTTACTTGGACAATTTGCACACTTATTTCCATAATCTGGACAACTTGGTCGCCGATGACGGGGTATACATGGAGATAGTAGCAGATTAACAAGAAATGCCAAGATGCGAACACATCAGTAAATATTTACTGTAAAGCACAGAAATTTGAAGTTTAATTTTGAACGACCTTTTCTCATATGACTTTCAATTTATAAGTTACTAAGTTATAAAACCCTGAATAAAAAAACCAAAAGATATACTTCGTAAATGGGCGCCAGTATTGCAGGTGAGAAGTTGGAAAGGTAGAGGGGAAATTGAATATATATATGTAAGCAAAGATTAATCATTACTAATAAAAAACGATTCTGGTTGGTTATACATGTTTTGAATGACCATAATATTTACGATTAGAAAATAACACATTTCGTAAATTTTCCCCATTTTTCCATTTATTATGTAAACCACTGGAAATAAATAAACAGTTTAAGTAAAACTCTAAGAAAATTTTCTTTCAGAGAAGGTACTATAATTGAAAATTGGAACAAAATTTCTGGTGGAATACTTATTCACAGAAGAAAAAAAATAAACATCATTGTAAAACCAATAACATTTCTTGCTCTACTCAGAATCTAAAACAAGAAAATAAATAATTACATTTTCTTTTTTATAAATATGTTTTTCTTAAAAGATGTACCAAAAAGTAAAAAAAATACATTTTTCTTTCTAAGATATTGGTTAAATATTACTAAAAATCATTTCAGACAACTATTTCCTATTATTTTATATAAATTAAGAAAATATAAAATTCGTTTAATCCTAAAATAAAAGAAAAACATGGGGCATCTCATTCAGTACATCATATTTTTTCATACTGATGTGAATCCAAAAATTTAGAATATTGATTACATACATTTTATTTATCGTTGAAATATAATGATTATCGATCGAATATTTGTTAAATTTTACTACGGAAATTAGAAATCGTTATCATATCCTTAATTTAGAATCCAGCAAATTGAATGACATACATAGTTAACAATTTAAACCAAATAATTAAAAATTTCGACTGAATATACAAAAATGTTTTGTCAAACTTTGGTAAAAAATTATAAGCTACAGATATAGCTATTAAAATCAAAATTTAATCAGATCTTGAAGAAATCAGTAATGACTTTGTTTCATTAGGTGCCCAATGCGTTTCTTTTTTTTTAGAGTATCAACCGAATTTTATATTTCTTTAATTTATATCAAATTATTGGAAATAGTTCATAGCTCATGATCCAATCGTTGATTTTTAGTAATATGAATAATTAATTGTAATCTCTGAAAGAGAAATTTATTTTTTACTTTTTAGTGCTTCTTTTTAAGAAAAAGTATATTTTAAAAATAATTTTTATATTTTTATTCATTCTATAAATTATTTAAATCAACGTACATTATTGATTTAAAGGTTAAAATTTATTAAAATTTTTTTCTAAAATATGTAATTAAAATCAAATTTATGCTTTTTTTGTCTTTTTATAACTTATTTATTTAATAACTGCACATTATATGAAATAATTTGTATGTACTAACTTCTTGTCAGGGCCGCTTTTTTTTCCAGCACTAAAAACGTCATGTGAAACGGACGTGGAATGTCTCCCGAATGCTGAATGCAAGATGAACGCCACGAGTACCAATCTAAGATTAAAGATTTGTGTGTGCAAAGATGGGTTCGTCGAGGAAAAGGAGGCTTGCAATTGTAATTTTCATTAATTAAATCTATATCTTAGATGTTCTTGGATTTGTTTTATAATACTCGTTGGGCTTAGTTAAATTTCTCAAATGGAAAATAATATTTATGGTGTCAATGGGCGCCATGAATTTAGCTAAATTTTATATTAAAAATGAAAAATATTTGTAAAACATTAAATAATCATTTTGCACAACTTAAACTTTAATACAAATTGCGTGCGTTCAAATTAAAATGATAAAAATAATGTATAATTCCTTTTAAATTATATTATAATATATAGGTACAAATAAATCCAAAAATGTTATTTGAAATATTTATACACTTTTAGTTGTATAATATTATTTAGCGTCAGACACTAAACAGTAAACTTATTTAATTTGATGCGTGTTGCTATAGATTGTTTAACCTTTGCATGTGTACATCTATAGTGTACACTTTAATTTATTTTAATGGATTATCATTTGTAGTGAAGGCGTATCAACACAGAAACGCCAATATAAGTCAGTTTAAATTATTTTAATTGACCATTTGTTCTCTATTGCAGATATTAAACTTGCGTGACTGTTGGGTTTTGTTTAGAATGATTGACTGACAAGTTATTATCTTGGCGTATATAATAAAGTTTGTTGGACGTTTGAACTTTGATGTTCGTGTAACGCCTTATAAGAAATAATATCGATAGACTAGATATCATTATTAAAGTTTTTTTTTTTAAGACTTCAAAAAAAAAAAAAAAAACAAAACTGTACCCTGAATCAAATTATTTATTTGTCCAAATGTCAAAATTAAATTCATTTAATATGAAACGTTAAAAGAAAAAGTCATTCCGTTATCGATTGACATATGTATTTTATACTTAATATGCATTTTTGTTTATATTGCATTTATAAAAAGATAACATGGTACCTGTAATATTCGTACAAATTTAAATTTGTTAACGTTCATCTACCTAGTCTTAATTATTGTTAGTCAAATCAATCGTTAGTCTTATATATCAGATTTGTATACGAGTTTTTTGTATACGTCAGATAGTTTTTTAAATAAATCGAACAAAAGTTGCTTGTTAATAATTAATTCAATACACGTAATTTAATCAGGCAAATTAATAAATTGTTAAATATTACAAGTCGAAATACTATGGTGTAATAACAATATTATGCCGATTAACATTCGAAAATATTTGCGGACTTAGTGTTTTCCTATCGGAGTCCATTATATCACAAATATCCTATGTTACCCAAGCATTATCTGGTTGTTATTTCCTGTAATTGTCAATAATTGTAACCAAGATTATCAAACGAAGTCGTAGATAAACTGTGTTGAAGCCAATGCAGTTTAATTATTTTAATTATTTATTTTGCATTCTAATAGTTATTTTCGTTATCGTATATTAAAGAGATTAATGAGATTCGTATAATGTACAAAAATAATATTAATATTTTTCGCATATACTAATCTTTTTTTTTATAGATTTTTAGCTTAGCGAGGGATCTATTAGTTTTATTATGATGTTTGTTTTTGTATTTTTTGTTCTGAACAAATTTTCTACCCGAAGTCTTGCTCTGGTGTATAAAATGTAACATACCTAATCTAACCTAAAAGCTAAAAGATAAAATTGTTTAGTTGGTGCATTGAAGAGGTAATTTTCTGATTTTCCAAGGGGTTTTCGAAATGGTTAGGAAAAACTTGAAAAAAAATAATAGATAAAAAGGCAAATATTTACGGCATGCCTTAAAATATTATAAAATATTGTTCCAATAGAAAAACAACAAGTGACTTCTTTTATTGAATTTTTAATCTAGTTGGTGATCAAGAAAGTCGTTTTTATATAAATATTTGAGCAAAACTATAAAAAAAACATAGAAAGTACTGCAAAATGTACGAAAATACTTCTTTTATTATTTTAAATTTTTGTTTTTTAGTATAATTTAGTTTGAAATATTCATAGACTTGAAATTTGACAGAAAACTTATATTGCTTTTTTTATACGTGATAAAAATTTGAAAATATTTGAGCTATAGATATTTAGTGGCTAAATTTAATATCATTGATATAACAAATAACAAATAACATTATATGTCCCACCTTCTCAACTATTCACCTATATCAGAAGCTGCATTTATCCATAGTATCAGCTCTTTGTTTGCATTTAAAATTACATTCAAATCGTACAAGTACAAATCGTATTAGTTGTTATTAATATCAAAGTGACAACTTTGATATTTATAAATGAACACACAAATAGTAATGGAGGTTTATTACTTTAAGCAGGCGCTAAAGATAGATAATTTCGGTACATTCGTGTGTATAAAAGATGAAAACATGTTCAAATACTGTTTTTTATTGCATTTTATTGAAATGTGGAACACCCGTACAAATACTAGTAACTCATGTTAATAATAAATTATTATTAGAGTTGATAATTTTGAGACCTTTTGTTATTTATTATACCAACAGATATTGGAGTGCGATTAAATTGCGATATAAGATTACCTCCTAAAGTACAATTAATAAAATGTATGTTTTCAGATGCCGATTTGTTGACCTTTAACTATGCGGCGTTGGTGATCGCAATCTTCGCCTCGTGGATTTGGAATGATCGTCTAGCTTGAACGTTGTGTACTTTTTCGAAAAAAAAAAGTTTATCTAAGACTTTTTCTATTTTTACGCACTAAATACCTACCGAAAATGATAAATAATTAACTACCTATACTTATATAATATACATAATAATCTTTTTTTATTTATTTTACACATATTTTTTGCACAATATTAAATACGACATTTCTACAGGTAAACATCAAATATCTAATTTTAGTTTTATCCATAAGTTTATAAATTTAATATTATAATTCTATACAAACAATTATGTCATATTTTTAATACACTTTGTTTAAGATTAATAAATGCATAAGTGAAACAACCGTCAATATAATACGTATATATAAAATATGTTTTACGTTTTTATCTAAAATATTATATTATCATTATTATTATTATTATGCCAATACATTTATATAATTAAAACAAAATTTATCGAATTTAAACTCGAATTAATCATAAAATTTATATTATTATTTATCTAGATATGTAAAATATGAAGTGCTTAAAACTTTACCGGTAAATAATATACTGGTATTTTGTAAAATATTTATAGACATTTTTATACCTGGTAAATTTTATCCAAATTGTTTCTTGTCGTTTGTAGCGGTCAAATTTATTAATTTAATATATATTGGTACTTAGATAGTATATATTTATAAAAAATAAAAAACGTGTATAATTAAAAATAGGGCGCATCTTTGTATTTTAATTAAATTCAAACACATCCGTTATAACTTTAAATTTTTAATCGCAAATTCGGAAAGCGGTATTTAATTTTAAATAATATACTTTATTCGATAAAATAAGAAACTGACTAATTTTAAATAATACAAAACTCATGTAGATTTTAAGTTAATGTTTGTTTAGTGTTAACATGTTAAATCCTTAATAATTTTGCAACACATACATTTTTTTTTTTAATCAATTAGTTTTTAAATTTTAGAAGAAAGAAATGAAGTCAATATATATATATATATAACTATAATATAATATTATACTATAATGTATTATCATGCAAGTTTATACATTTTTACTTAACACTTCATTGTATGTGTTACATATTATATATATAAAAAAATGGCTACATTTTATCTATAAGTTTTTTTTTATTCATACCTATGTAAATGAAATTCTTATAGTTAAATAAAACCTATTAATTTACAGAATGATATTTTTTTATCATGAAACAGCAATATTCTAGGATAATTTTAAATTAATTTGTTTTCGGGTTTTTAATCATTGTGAAATCGGTTAAGCTTTATTTTAGGAGCATTTTTAATTTTTACCCCTACTCAATGTATCTTAAATGTGAGAATATTTCTTTCAGACATTTCGGTTTGTATAATACTTGTAATAGATTTACCGTTTATGAGATTTAAAATTTTAATGTTTAGACTGAAGGGGTATCAGTTTATCATTTAAAAATAGACATGCAATTTATTACCTTTCCCTAATCATGTAGCGTAAACTTTTAACTGTTACAATTCATAAACGGTAAATCTGATATTGATATCAGTTATGTATGTGAAAATGTCTAGAAAAATATTCTGTATTTAAATATGTGGGTTCTTTTCAAAAAAGGGAGTTCTTATTTGAAAAAAAAATGTATATACGTAGTTAAGATACATGGAGAAGGGATAAAAACTTAAAAAATGGTCTTAAAATAAAACTTAACCGATTCTTCAATGATTAAAAAAAAATAAATAGAAATCAAATTCACTTAAAATCCTCCGAGAAAATTGCTGGATCATGATAAAAAAATTACTCTGTATTATAACACTAAAGACAAAAAAAAAACACAATAATAGATAACACTATATTTTTGACATTACTCAATCAAAATTAAATAAAACTGGGTTTTTGAATGTCGACAATAATTTAAACATTACTTATACAAATACTATACGAATTTAAAAAAAAAAAATAGTTATTTATATTTCAATATTTTATAGATTAATAAATTATTTTTTTTAATATACAGGGTGTCCTACAATGTTATTCTTATGCTAATAATTTTATCAATATTCATTCTATTTTCGGGTTTTGTGCGAGGCGGAAACATATGTAGAGAAAAATTAAATTTTTATTTTCATCCCTTAATTATTGAAAAAAACATTTTAAAATTTTCAAAATAGCCATTTTGTAAAAGATATTTTTTAAAAATGTTAATGTACCATAAATTATATCTAATCAATAGTTTCTTAGTTATAATGGCTTTAATGTGTAGGGAATTGGAGTGAAAACATTTAACATTCATTAGGAGATAATTACTGTGCTGATAGTAATTCCTTATCGCATAATGTGTTATTTTATTGAAAATTAATTGTTTTCACTCTTATTTTCTTAATATATTTTACAAAATGACTGGTTGAATACTTAAAAAAATGGAAAAATAAAAATCTTCAGTGATTAATTAACACTGTTAATTCTGAGCGGTGCGAGGAATCTATTGGTTTTACTATGATGTGTTTTTTTTCTGTTTATAAACAATTTTTTGAAAAGAAACCACTTGCTTCAATGTTTAAATGGGAAAACCGGAAAAATACGATAAATGAAAAGCAAACAAATTTATGACGTACGATTTCATTTTTCAACTTCTACGCTTTATATATTTTCAGCCAGAAATTTCAGCCGTTTCAATTGAAAAGCAGCAAGATATTTTTTTTTTGTTGTATTTTTATTCTTGTTACGAATAAGTTATTCGTTCTTTGATTTTTCAAGTAGTTTTCATAATAATTGGGAAAATCAAAAAAAAAAAAGGCGAAGGATGAAACCTGATAAATTCGTCGTCACTATTTCAATACACTCGTATTTATATTTTTACGCTATGTATTTTCTATTAGAAATATTACTTCAATAAAAATATATACAATGGTTCATTATTAATGCATTTTTAATTTAGTTGGTGAATAAGAAAGTCATATTTTTAATAATTGAAAAAACTCAACAAAATATACAAATATATTGCTTTCTATTATTTTAAATTTTGTTTTAGATTCTGAGTGTACCGAAGAATACATATTGGTTTTACAAAGATGTATATATATTTTTTTTTATGTGAACACTTTCTTTTACCAGATAGCTTACTCCAATTATCGAGTATAGCACCTGATTTGAAAGGAAATGTTCTCTGAGTGGTATTTTAGGGAGGTTAATTTTTTGAAATTCTCATTAATATTCAAGATAATGAAAAAACCTAGTTCTTTAGGTTAAAAAAAGATTGAATGATTAAAAATAGATTTGTCATTAGTAACCGTTTTTATTTATTTTTTGGTATTATTTTAATCTTCCTTTAAGTGGTGGTAGACATATTCTAATATTATTTTTAGTTCTAAATATTCAGAAAAATTACCTATAAGTGAATCAAAAAAAAAGAATTTAAATATCTGTTAGAAGATAAAATAATTCCTTAATAATTATAATTATTTTTATGATGAGTTACCCACTATCAAAAAACTGATACCACAAGTTTCAGATGATGAGGAAACTGAATGAAGTTCTTATTATTTAAATAATTAGAATGTTAATTATATTTTGAAAAGTTAACAAAATTTTACTATATTTCATAATCTAGTTACTGTTAAATTAAGTTTAAAAATGTTAAATTTCTTTTTTTATACAATAAAAAGCATAAATAATAATTATGACATAATTAAAATTTGTCTTTATTAAAGATAAAAGTAAAAGGTTTTATGTTTTTATGCATTACTTATTATTAGTACAAATGTGTTAAGTACAGTTTTTATTATTATTATTTTTTGTTGTATATGTCTGGAGTAGAACAATAATTTGTATTCCTAATCACTTATTATTTGTTAAAGAAAATATAACACAAAGTTCATGTTAGTAAGTTACATTTTTGATTTGCTATAGTAGTATCAAATTTAAAATCATTCTCCTGTAAAATTACAAAAACAGTACTAAAAACATCTGTGCTCTATGACACCGAAACATGTATAACCGAATTTCGCTCCAAATTGTTTTTTTGTTAGCAATGACCGATCGTTGCTCACAGATATAAATTAAATAATTTTATATATCCTATCTTCTAATTTCCCACCAATAACATTAGCCGAAAGAAGGCAATGGAGAATAAAGAGAAATGGGAAAAGATTTACCATAATATGGTAAGATAGTCTCAAAAATCTTAAAAAAAAAAAAAATAATTATGTTCCAATATTTTAAACATATAAATTATAGCTTAATTCTATTAAATATCTTATTTTTTAGAATCACAAAAATATACACTGTTAATATAATTAACAGTGGTACAGCTAGGAGGGGTGTAATAAATCTCTAGACATTTGGGACTTTTATCATGAATCTTATGTAATAATTTATATTGATCCTATACTGCCTTAGTAAAACTTGAATGATTCGTCTGAATGAATTGACATATTTTTATTAATTTGATGAAATTTTGGACATTTGTACATCTACAAAGTAGTAGTAGTGAATGTTTATTTATGGATTGCGAAGTTTAGGGATTTTATTAAAATCTAAAAATGTTTTAGCAAAATCTAGAAAATTGTCGATACTGGTTGTATATTTTTTGCAAATATGTGGGAGACAACTCGACAGACATATGTAAAAGCAATTTTATAAGTGATCTGCGGGGTTTTTTTAATTTCCACGGTGTAAAAAAAGATGATAAAAAAATGTAAGTATCAATAACGGATTTTCAGCACTTTTCTAGGAGAGGTTCTGAAAAATAATATGCATTTAAAAGGTTTCTATTAATAGATGCCTATTTTTAAACGACATTTTATTGAGATTATATCAGTGTGTGGGGAAGGCCCCCCCCCGTATTATAATGTATAGTAGATTCTCAGTAAATAATAATTTACTCTATATGAATGCAGTGTTCGAATCGGAAATATAAAAGAAAAGGAGCCAACGCTCGTATCGAATATAAATTCAAATTTAGTGCCTGAATAAATAAACCTTTGTACACGAGTCCAGAATTCATAGTTTTGGTTCTAGGTTTTATAGCACAGTAAAAATATCGAAAATCCGTAGTCACAATTTGATTTAATATGGGTTTACAAAAATCAAATTTTGACGAAAATTGTAGACTACTTTTCGCTCAATGTGAATACTAAACTTTTTTAGCTTTATACAAATGCTCAACAAATTTAGGTTGAAAACACAGAGAATAAAAATGTATTCTGTACAAATTAATACAATTTTCAGTTAATAATTTTATCAAAATATGATTAACCGAACTTCACTCAGAATTGTTTTTTATTAGTATATATTATAGAAATATCATTGTTTATAAATAACAATTAAGTTACCTATCTAACCTACATAATATATTATCTTTCCAACTTGTCCCTTACAATAGTGTCTGAACCATGACACTTATAATGTTCCGGCATGTTTTTTTGGCCCCTTTTTCTCCCATTGAGAAATTATTGAATTTCAATTTAACTTGTATCATTTTCTACAATAAATTACTCAAAAATCAAAATACTCGTTTCTTAATTCATTATAAAATATATTTAAAGTGTAAATAAACTCGACTTTACACCCATGGACTATTGTTTTAGATTCTGAGTTTAGTTTAACGACTTAGATAAATATATAAGGAACCTTCTTACCTAATAGAAATCTGTGGAAGAAGGGTAATTTGCGCAATCGCTATTTGCTTGATATTTCCAACCCCTGGACGAATCACTCCACCTTTCGTGACAAAACTGAGAAACTCAATCGGTTTGGACATGATAAACACTTAATGGGCTTTGATGGAAATTTTAGTTTTCGCAATCTCCCTAGTACTCCTTTTAGGTTACTCAGCATTATAGTTATATTTTTCTCTTCAATAACATTTAAATAATAACAAACATTATTATCTTATAGTAGTCCAAGTACTCTCTGTGTGAGTAATTAGTATTTTTGTCGAGCTCTTTGGCATTGATGTAAGCCTACTCAATACCAATTAGACTCAGACTGGAAAATTTAAATAGTTTTAATTAGGAATAAATAAAACATAACCAAACATGAATTTTGAAAATCCTATAAATTATAAAAATTA